GAGAAAAAATGCAGCAGTCATTTAGGGCTTGGGGAGGGAGATGTGAAAAGTAGCCTTCTGCTAAGTGGGCTTAAAACCCTGGAATTGGAAGGGTCCCTGAGAAGCCATCACACCCACCTCCAGCCTGGTTCACCACTCCAAAGCTAGGTGGCCAGTCCTCCTTCCTCCGCGTCTGCTTCACAGACCTTTGCAGAGGAAAATCCCACACTCATTGCCATGCCTGCCTCGTTTTCAGGAAGTTTCCCTTTTATTTGGCTTCAGTCCGTCTCTCTGCAGTCTGGTTACTCTTTAAAAATGGAGATTGAATCGCCTCTCCCCACCTCAAGGAAGAACCTAGACCCTATGTCTTTCTCATTTTTGGTCAACATAAACATTTTCACATTCTTCATTAATGGTGTCTAACATCTTAAATATAAATAATGAAAACAAAGCGAAGCAGCGGCGTTTTTTGAGTGTGCCTTTTTGGCCTCCACCTCTCTGGGCTCTGGCACACTCCTGGGGTGGGCTGTGTGCCTGTCCCTGAAGAATGCCAGGCTGGCCCATCTCCTGCAGGCCAAGTAACCCCTGCGGCTGCTCTCTTCAGTGAGATCATTTCCTTTGATCTCACACCTCCTCGCACCAAAGCCAGGCCAAGCCAAGGCAGTGCGAAGAGTTGTCTGCCTTGGAACAGCCGTACCACTCAGATGTGTATGTGCTCAAGAAGAATGGGTACAGAGTGTTGATTTATTTGGGTTATACAATGTGTAAAACTTTTTCATTAGTGGCCAGTATTTAAAATAATAAAAGAGCCAGAAATCTGAGTTTTTGCATAGACTCAGATTGCTGGCTAATTTAAAAATTTAGACTATGTGGCAAGCTCATTGCAGATATTATGTTGCAGCAGTCAGCTGGAGCGGGGTGTCAGTCATCTGTTTGCGCAGGCCCCACTGCTCCCTGTTGCCTGTACCTACCCACTTCTATCACTTATTGACACAGCCTCTGCTGGCATGTGACTTTGGGATGTCCGTTTGGTTCTTGATTCCCTCTTGCTGCTACTGCAGGGCAAAGCAGTTGAGATGGGGGATCAGTCAGGAAGCATCCATCTCTCAGGCAGGGGACTGTAAGATGCAGAGGGATGCCTGGCCATGGGATCCGGGCCTTCCCTTCCCTCTCTTTCGCCACCCTGCCCTTCTCCTGGGCATACCAGAGGGGACTGGTGGAACACCATGATTCCATGAGATGAGCAGCTCTGGGCTGGAACAGCTAAGGAGTTAAGGAACAACCTTAGATGTGCTCTGGGGGCCGGGTGTGGCATCCCCAGCTCAGAAGGCAGGGCCAGTCAGGGGACCACACCCTGGGTGCTGGTGAGGGCTCAGTGCTTTGGGAATTTGGACAGCAAGGAAGGACCCCTCGTCAGCACTCCTCCTGCTGGGCTGGTGCCCACGGGTGTCCAGTGGGACTCCTCTCATGGTATGTCCTTCACGAGGCCTGCCACTGCAGTCCTCTGGGTCTTGTGTGGCCTATGGCATAGTGCCCACATCACCTCTGCCCTGCTATCTACCCAAGCCAGACTCCCAGCCAGCTGCCAGTATCACTCCTGCATTTGGAAATGCAGACAGCAGATACGTTGGAGTGTCTCTGAGCAGAAAGGTGTGCCAGGGCTCTGGGGTGCCCAGAGAAAAAGAAGACAAGGCCTGGCCCTCTGTCCACTGTCCCACTGTAGCAGAGGAATGTGACCGTGAAGTAACACCCAGCTCCTAGATTTGAGGGCGGATGAGGAGGGGCATGCCGAGCTTTGTGGTCAGAGAGATGGCCTTGGAGAAACCACAGAGCCTCTCTGACCTTCACAATTCATGAAGGGGCTAAACAATGCCTCTTGGTGAAGTGTCTTGAATCATCACATGGAATAATGGCGGCTGAGCACTTGTGCTGCCACCTGCCACGGGACTGGCGTTCCATAGATGGAGGCGAGGTGGCTCAGACCTTGGGGGATAGAAGAGGGCCCTAGAGGAAGGAATGGCTTCTGGGGGATGGGACCTGACACTTGAGTACCATCCCTGTCCTTGAGGACACCAGACCAAGAATCAGCAGAGCAGAGGCTGAGCGAGCGGAAGGGGGCACTTGGGCAGCTCAAGAAAGGCCTGGAATGTTGTGGTCAGTGGGGAGAGCTTCAGGCACCCACGGATGGCATTCCAGGAGACTCTGTGCTCGGGTTTGTTGGGGAGTGATAATGCTGGAGTGGTGGGTAGGACAACGCTGGTAGTAGGGGCTCAGGCTGGGGGCAGACATGGGCACAGCAGTGGGCAGCCTTGCTAGGCCTTGGCCTGGGATGTGGGTAAAGGGCTGTTTGCACTGCCAGGGGAGAAAGAGGAAGAGAGTTTGGGGCAGAGAGGTGGGCAAAGGGGCCCACCCTTGGGCAGGTGAGGGAGGTGCTGGCTGAATCCAGTTTGTGCAGGGTTGAGCCTGAGCAGCGGAGCAGAGCAGTGAGGAGGTGCGGGGCTCTGTGAGCAGAGGGCAAAGTGGAGTCAGTGGGGGCTGGGAGGACAGCAGCCTGCCAGGATCTGGGGAGGCCGAGGGTCCTCAGTCTGGGGAACCCCAGAGTGTGCAGAGGCTGGCCTTCCCTGGTTGGGTGACCACCAGCGTGACGTTCCCAATTGCGCTCAGATTCCTATGGAAGGCTGCAGGAGTCCTCCTCTTTCACTGCGGGTGAGACTGCCCTGGCGCTAGGAAAATATTAATAGACCCCCAGGGACTGAGAACAAGGATGGAAAAATAAAACCACTTCCTACTCTCTTTCCTCAGCTGCCACTCCAAGAAGTTGTGAGCTTGATGCAGCTCTGCCCTCACAGAACTCATGCCCTGCCCTCACCCCTGGACTGAGTTCTTTCCCGCCCTCCCTGTTGTTGGTTGCTGGGCAGGGGGCACTGTGGGGGACTGGGGTAGGACCCCAGAGGCCAGGTGGGCAAGTAGCAGGCATTCCTGTGAGCCAGGGATGCCAGCAGGGAATACTGTTCTGAAGGTTCTGTGACTTCTTAGACACTGAGGCCCTTACCAATTCCTCGCTCTGAAAGCCGCTTAGACCCACCAGACTCGGTGGACAAGCCTGGGGGTGAGTGGGACAGTGTTTTCATTTTGCACCTCGCCAGGCCTAGGTGCCAAATCCCAGATTCTCTTTTCACTAGCCTGTGCCTTTGGTAGAATGCCTCTCTCCCCTTGGTAAAATGGGGATAATAACCCTCCCCCACAGCTTTCTGCCTCAGGCCTTTGTGGCTGAACCTAGGTTACCTGTTCCTCCCTTACCCTATTCCCATCCCCTTTCTCATCCCCTTCCCCTCCTCTGAGATTCTGGAACACTTCGAGTTTGTCCTATGTAATTCATCCACTCTCTCTTGGGCTTTTTCTGCTGGTGAACTTCAGTGTAGTCATCAAAAAGAGTTGCAGGGGCCCTGTTTGGTTAGGCAGCCATCCAGCAAGCCTACATGGTACTTCTGTGTGGACTTGGGGCTAGGGCAGGGTCCGGGGGCCTCCAGCACATGTGAGGCCCATCATGCCCAGCGCCCTCCCCTGCCTAGCCCTGCAGCCTTGGGCACTTGTTTCTTCATCATGCAGTGCTTATTAAGCAGCCACTGTGTGCCAGGCACTGTGCGTGGTATAGGGATGCAAAAATGAAGATCCCGTTTTCAGGGAGCCAACAGTAACCCCCTCCCCTGCCACTCTTACCCCCCATACCCATTACCCCTGCCATGCACACATATACACTCCACATTCCAGTCATATCATGTTGCCTGCAGTACCGAGCGTCTCCTTGGCTTTTCATGTCGCCATGCATTATACTTTTGTCGCTTCTATTCTTTACCTGGGACACGCTTGTCCTTACTGTTTTTTGTTCTTTTTTTTTTGAGACGGAGCCTTGCTCTGTTGCCCAGGCTAGAGTGCAGTGGCGTGATCTCGGCCCACTGCAACCTCCGCCTCCCCGGTTCAAGCGATTCTCCCGCCTCCCTGGTTCAAGCGATTCTCCTTCCTTAGCCTTTTGAGTAGCCACCACGCCTGGCTAATTTTTGTATTTTTATTAGAGATGGGGTTTCATCATCTTGGCCAGGCTGGTCTCGAACACCTGACCTCATGATTCACCCGCCTCGGCCTTCCAAAGTGCTGGGATTACAGGCATGAGCCACCATGCCTGGCCATCCTTACTGTTCACCTGGCTAATATCTACTTGGCCTTTAAGATCCCGTTCTGCGTCACTTCTACCAGGAAGCCTTCCGCAGCACCCCCAGGCTGGGTAAGATGCCCCCCACTCCTATGCTCCTGCATTACTTACCCAGTGTACCATAATCCTCTGCCTGCCTCCCCCACAAAATACACACTGCGTGCCCCATGGTCTGGGGCTGGGCTCAGGCTCATTTATTTTGGTATCTCCAGTTCCCAGGACCAAGCACACAGGAGGTGCTCTGGGAGCATTGACTGGATGTGTGTGATCCTGCGGAGCCTGAGCAAGTGTGTGTCTTGAGAGGAGGGGGGCCAACACTGGCTCCTCTCCCAGTTTACTCCTGTTCATTCTTTTCTGGGCTCAGGTAACACCATGACCTTTCTCATGTCATGTGACCTGTTAGAGGATATACCCCGCCAAACTACAGGGTACCCAGAGCGGGTGGCTAGGTTTTGTGATGGAGAGCTCTTCCGGATTTCGAAACCAGAGGGAGAAACTTTGTTTCATGCTGAACTTGCTGGCAGTTTGATATCTTCCACATTCTCTTTGGTGAACAAGCAACGCCTGAATACTGGAGAAATGCAAAAGAAGGCATCTGAGGAGCTTACCTTTCATCCACTGTTCATTCAACAAGCCTCCAAGGGCTCACTTTCCTGGGACATCGCTGTAGTGATTCAGTGGCCAGCTGAGACATGCCTGCGGCCCTCCTAGGCAGAGTCGGAGAGCTGAGCCCCACACACAGATTGGCCTGCTAGCCTTCCGAGGAGGGCGCGGTAGGTAGGAGGCTGAGCTGTGTTGAACTGTCACCTGTGGACCTGCCAGTTTGCAGGGTGCTCAAGGTACTCAAGAAAGGCTTTGGAGAAACAGGAGGGACTTGGGATGGATTTCAAAGAAGGATGTTGATGATGGTAACAACTTGATGTCTGTTGAACAGTCACTATGTGCCAGATACTGGGCCAAGCAAATAAATGCAGCTTTTCACAGCCACCATGAGGCAGATGCTGCCACTGTCCCTACTTTTATAGAAAAGAAAACCAAGGTATAGAAAGTAACTTGCCTAGGGTTGTAGGCTGTCTGCATAGCTCAAGCTCCTTGGCAAGGAGTTCCAATTGAGCGGCCAGTCCTGAGCTGGGCAGGGAACAGCTCTAGTGTAGGACCACAGGGAGATGGGCTGAGGCTGGGGCAGGGACCCATATAGGGGATAGGGTCCCAAACAGAGGTGCTAGAAGGTGCTAGAAAATAAGGCTTTCACAGCAGCTTGGTGCCCCCAGCTTCCTCGCTGGTCCTCAGGGCGGAGGTCCTCAGGGCTGAGGGCTACCTGCTGGTACCAGATCTATGCCCTGCTCAGCAAGGTGTCCCAGCCTGGATCTGGGGTGCTGGGGTGGGAAGTGTCTAGTTTTGATAACTAGTATTTGCCCTGGTTGCCTCTGAAGCTCTGACCTGCCCAGCTGTTTCACCCACATGGGCAACGGTCTGACCTTGGGGGTGTATCCTACTCTGACACCACCTTGCAGCTCAGTCCTGACCTCTTTCCAGCACTCCTGGATCAGCTGCCTCTGCCCTGGCCTGACTGCACACACATACTCACCAGCCCCTAGCCAGCAGAGGATGCCTAGCACCACAGGCTGACAGTGGCTCTGGAACTACACTGTGTGGTTTCAGATCCCGACACTGCCTCTTTCTAGCTTGGTGACCTTCAAAACGTTATTTTACTACTCTGTGTCTCAGTTTCTTCAACTGTGAAATGCGGATAATGGGAAGCTGTACCCCGTAGGGTTGTCATGAGAATTAAAATCTTCCAACAGCATCTGACACATTGTTTACCTTAAATGTTCCTATTGCTTTTAACATGATGACTGTTGTAATTATAATTGTCGTGGCAGGTGGTTTCTGCACACCTACTGAGGCTCATCGTGCTGGGTCGCAGATGGCTACGCCCTAAGTCCTGTTTGGGAGGTGCCCGTATACTGGTGGGAAAGACCCAGGTATTGACAGTTGCCATGTGGAAGTGTGGAAGCATGTGGTACTTAGGGGTCATGAGTAAGCCCAACAACGTGTCCCTCCCTGACTTACTTCAACCTTGGCCTTTGCTTGGATCTCTGGACTTCTGTCTGATCATTTCTGCTCTGCTGACAGCAGTCCAGGTGTGATCCTGGCAGAGGAGATTAGAAGAAAAGCAGGGATTGGTAGATTAACAGAAGACTTGGGTAATAGAGATCTCCAGAGATCACCAGGCAGGCTACCCCTAAAGGTCCTGAGCCCTTCCCATGGAAAAGGATGGCCACTAAGTGGGATGTTTTGGAGGGAACCAGAAGGGTAGTAGGTTAGATCTGGGGCAGCAGACAGATTTTCTCTCTGGAGCAGTCAGTGTGTTCTGCTGCCAAGAGTACTGTGTTGACAAGGAAGGGGACCGTGAGCCATCAGTGTTGTCTGCCATGGCTCTGGGAATGGGAAGGAGCAGCACCCATGCCACCTACTTGCCATCGAGACTTGCTGTTTATGGCATGAAATCACATACATGGTTGGGTGGGTGGTTAGGGCTTAATAATGGAGTGAGCTAAAAAGCACTGGTGGCTTTCTAGAGGAGCTGAGAGGCCCAATGACAGTGCCACACTTGGCTTAGCAAAGATATGAAACAAGGGGCTGGAGCAAAGTCTCAGGGAGTGGAGAGTGAAGCCTTAAGGGATGCCAAGTGGCCTAGACCCCTGTGGGGTCACGTGCCATTTACGCACAGCCTGCAGGTCAGCGCTCTGGTGAAGCTGCCCATTTCTGGGAATTGTGCAGAAGGGAAGGGCAGCTCCTGGAATGCAGAGCCATTTCCTCCACATGGGTTGGGTCACTCCCCACAGCGTGTCCTCATCCCCCTGGGTTGGGCACACCCAGACATCATAGAGATGAGATTAGCTTCCCAGGTCTAATTCAGCTCAATGTGAGTGAAAGTCCATTCACTTTCCTAAGAGCCCCATTAATAATGGATATGTCCTTCTCTCTAACCTGATTTACCTAAAATACTTGCAATTCAATTGATGGGGTTAGGGGGACTCTTTGAAATAATTAGTATAGAAATACAGAAGCAAAAAACAGTAAATACCAAACCTTCAATAGAATTGGCAGCATCTTTGGGAGAGCCTCTGGATTGGCCCTGGCCCAGCCTCTGAGAATCTGTGGTCCCAAGGTCAGGGCCAAGGGAGGCAGCAACAGTGATGAAGAGTGCCCTGTAGGAGAGTGAATCATGAAGACACTACCCTGAGAAAAGAAAAGCCATGTGATGCAGCAAAATGAATTGGCAAAAGAATTGGAGGCAGTGTGGCATGACCGCTGTAACATGACCTTTGGCGTCTAACCAGTCCACAGCAGTTGTCCACTAAGGGTGGGCGTTGTTGCTGCTATGCAGCTCCTTCTGGGCACCATTTTTCCTGGCCAGCACATAGGACACTGCTTTAGAAGTGATGCTGGGTGGGGTGGGGTGCATGGAGAGGCCAGGGGGCCTGTGGACCTCTTGGCAGCATCTGTAGCTGAAGCCATTCATTTAACATGTGCTGCTCACTTAGAACAATGGGTGCGGTGGTTTTAGGCTATTGTTTTGGGCAACAAGCTCCATAGAAGCCCTAGAACCTGGAAACGAGGAGAAGAGGCAAATTTCATGAGGGATAAGAACCACCGAGCCCTGCCATTTTGCCATTTTGTGGGGGCTCTGGGGGCCTGCTGCTGTCTTGGACATTTCTGTCTATCACCACATCAGGTCCTCCCGAAGCCCTCTGCAGTGTGGATGCCCTTCTCTAGGGCTGTGGATGGGGCAAGGAAATGGTTTAAATCACTGAAGCCTACCAGGTTGAAGGGAAAGCAGGGGCCCAACTACTTTATCAATGCAAATATGCCCTTGCTGAGGGACCCTCCAAGATTTTCTCACTGGGGCCTTACACCTTCCTGGGGGCCCTGTTCTCTTGTCTTATAGATGGGGAAACTGGGCACCAGGAAGTTAAGAAACTTGCCCCAGGTCACACAGGGAGTCTGTATTGGACGCCGCAGTGGAACTCCGGCTGCCTGGCTGTGGAGTTGAGGCTGTGTCTGACCTCCCAGGCTGTCCCTGACCTCCCAAGCTGTCCCACTGAGAACCATTGGGCTGTTACACAAGACTATTCCCGGGAGGTCTTAGACACACCCATGCTAACTTTGAAGATTGCTGAGTGAAAAGGTTATACTGGGGTGATCAGTCCACCCAGCCACCCACTTCCTAGGGGTATGAGCCGGCCCCTTTCAGAAGGATGGGTGTGACCCCCTGCTTCTTAGCACGAGGGAGGCCTGTGTGGGTAGAAGGCGGCACTGGGGAAGTGATGAGGGCAGTGTGAGTAGAGACTGAGCTTCCCATGTGTTAGGCTCTGCCTGGCCCCGTGAGGGGCAAAGGAATGAGAGGGTGTGGCTCTTGTCCTCGTGGAGCTTACAATCTGTTTGACAAGGTAAATCTGGTATTTGGGGAAACGGCTTCAAACCATGCACGAAGGTTCTACCCATGGGGAAAGAAAGGGAGCAAGAGGCAGACAACAGCCAAGAGAGCTTATTTTTCCATTTACAGATGCCTGAGGTTTTTGTACACACGTTATTAAAATTATTGAGGAAGCGATATTGCCTTTTAGGCAGAAGTTTCCAGTATGAACAACGGTTTGGGTTGCCATGAAGCCTGTGGCCTGGGCGGGGCCCTGGGAGCAGTGGTTGCCATGGGAACCAGCTCAGCCACCCCCACGGCCAAGTGGCTGCTGTTCCCAAAGTTGGTTTCTGCGTGGATGGGGCTGCCTGGAACCTTGGAGCCATTTCCCATGGAAACAATGCTCTAAATGGTGGGTGATGTTCCCACACAGGCCTATTTTGTCTGGCTGTTAACAGAGCAGAGATGGTGGTGAGGCTTCTCATGCTGAGAGGAGGCTGGGAATGAGAGTGTGTATGTGTGTGTGTGTGTGTGTGTGTATGTGTGAGTGTGTATATGTGTGTGTGTCCTCCTTCTTGGGAACAAAGTAAACAAGGTGACAAAACGAGCGTTTGGGCATCTTCTCAGAGCTCGGCATGTCTCATACATTTTATTTCATGCTTAGAGCAATCCTGCAAAGTATGAGTCTCCAGCTAACCCACTTTACTAATAAGATACTGAGGCCATGGAAGGTAATTTGCCCAAGGTCACTCAACTGGTCAGTAGGAGAGTATTCAGCACAGAAAATAGTGGGGAAATTTTAAGGAGAACCCCAAGTCTACCTTCTACCACCTTCCCACCTCAGAGGGGCACACCCATCATCCCCCAAAGTGAAGACCCAACATCCTGGAATGATCTCTGAGGTGCTTTTTGGTTGAGAAGGCTGGAAAGGAGAGGTGTGTTGTGAATGTAATCAGTTTGCTCCTTAACCACCAACCAACCAACTTTTCATTCTGTGGTGACTTTCATCATAGCCTGTGAGTGGTTTTTAAAAAATCTTTCTCTGTACCACATGAGACCAGCTTGTTTTGTAGGAGTGTAGTTCATGGTTCTTGGCATCTTGACCTCCCCATCTGCAAAGACACCATTTGATCAGTGTTTTCTGGGGGGATGGAGAAACAGGCCTATCAAAAGGAGATAGCACCTTTAGGAATTGGGGGGTTCTCTGGACTCATTCTCCAGCTTTGGAAACCCCTTCTTTGTTCCTGGCTCACACTTGATTCCAGAGGGCCCTGTCTGTGCCATTAGTCTGATCTCTTAGTAGGAGAGAGACAGTCCCAAGCCCTGGCTGAGAGAGTTGTCCCTCAGCTTTACCATGGGGAAGCCAGCTCTGTGGTACGTAGGTTGTCTGACCATTGTTCAGAAATGCGTGTTGAACCTCTAGTTCATTCAGTAAGTGTCTGCCCTGTGCCAGTGCTATGCCAGGCTCTGGGATATAGAGAAGAACAAGATGCTGTCCCTGCCCTTTTGTGCACAGTAAACACATAGAAAATTCTAGGCATCACTGTGGCGTCTGTGGCAGGAACTTCAGGGCTCAAAGCACAGGTGGAGGCAGTGCCTAGTGCTGACCCATGAGGAAGTATGTGCTCTCCTGGGGGTCTTAGGTGTGCGCAGAGGCTGCAGTGTGACCACAGGGCACACTGGGAGACCACAGAGCTGGTTGGGAGTGAGAGTAGAGTGTGAGGGGCTGCGGCACGTGTGTGGCTGGAGAGGTCCGCAGTGGCAGCCAGCGACAGGCATTGACTGTCCTGTGAGGGGCCTGGACTTTCCTCCTCAGCGTTGAGGGGCACAGAAAGCGTTTTCACAGGGGACCCAGTCTGATGTTTGTGTGAAATGAGTAGTCTAGCCCTGTTCCATTGCGTCCAAATTAGAAGGGAACCCTGGCTTGGCTCCCTGTGGTCTCCCAGGGTTCAACCTCTGAGAGCAGGGTGCTGTCAAAAGGAGGGGGCCCCCACTGGCCATTTCCTGCCCACTGCCTTGGCAAGCAGAGGGCATTTTTTAAGGAGTCCCCAGGTGATTCGGCTGTGGGTGGTCTGAGTGCCGACTCAAAGCTTCATTCATGTCCTCCAGCATATTTACTAGTGTATTTCTTATCTTGTTTTCTTTTGAGAAGAAAATAAAGACAAATGGTTTTCCTTTTCAATACCTTCCCACCCACTTAGTATTTTTTAGTTATGTCGCTGCCAGCAGAGAATGGAAGCTGTAAAAACAGCCAAACACCGACTGGGTGTGGTGGCTCACGCCTGTAATCCCAGCACTTTGCGAGGCCAAGGCAGGTGGATCACAAGGTCAGGAGAGCAAAACCATCTTGGCCAACATGGTGAAACCCATCTCAACCGAAAATACAAGAAAATTAGCCGGGCGTGGGTGGTGGGCACCTGTAGTCCCAGCTACTTGGGAGGTTGAGGCAGGAGAATCTCTTGAACTCGGGAGGCGGAGGCTGCAGTGAGCTGGGATTGCACCACTGCACTCCAGCCTGGGTGACAGTGAGACTGTCTCAAAAAGACCAAAAACCAGCCAAACACCAGCAAACACCTTTCACCCACAGCCCAGCGCCATTGCCCAGGACAGGGCGGCAGTGGCTGAGGGGCATTGAGGAGTGAACCCCACGCTCAGGGCAAAGGAGATAGGCCACTGGGCCACCCCTTCCTCCCCATTTCTGTCACCCTGCAACTCCCCTCCGCCCTCTCTCCTTGGCCTGCCTTTACCGTCATGGATTTGGCCATGGAAGAGCTCAGTTAAGTGAAGCCTCAGCCTGTCCCATGTTGTAGGAAGATGCTGGAACCAGATCCCGGGGCCACAGCCGGTGCCTGGTCCTATCCTGCCCCAAAAGAGCTGAGATCCCCACTCGTATGAGAGGAAATCAAACATTTTCAGGTGGCTTGAACATTTTATTTTCCTGGGAGCATTTTAATAGTGTTAAACTTTTCTAGTACACAAATATAATGCATGCTTGTTGTAGAAAACTGAAACATTAAGAAAATGAAAATGCCCTGAAATGTGCCTCAGAGACAACCAACTGCTAAACCTCTTAATGCCCGGATCCACACCTGACCGCGCAGATTCGTGGTGGGCCTCTTCGTGGAAGGTGGATCAGGTGTACTTACTAGCTGTTTGCAGCCTGGCTTTTTTCATACATAACAATGCATTTTTTCTAGGTTACTGAATATCTTTCTTTTAAATGACCGCATAGTACTCCATTATATGAATAAACTTTTTCTTTAACTTTTTCCGCCAACATTAAGTTATTTCTATTTTCCCCCATTCTTAACATCTTTCTTCACTTTTCTGATTATCTCCTTAGAAGAAATTCTCACATGGGGTAGAGCTGCAGGAGAGGGTATGAATGTATTTATGCAAGTGTATTTTCAGTACAGCCTAGGCAGATTTGCACTTTCACTGCAGTGTAGCAAAGCTTGTACTTCCCTGAGACTTTGGGGAAGTCCTAAATGTCAACATCAGGCTTCAGTAACTACAAAGCATTCTGCAATGACTCTCGCCTGCAGCCCCATGCAAATCAGTGTGGCCACATAACCCACATTTGTATTTAGCCCCCTTTCTGTCAAAATCTGGAACTGAAGACTATTTTAGAGCTGGAAATAATTATAAAAGTAATCTAATCCAGCCCTTTAAATTCATAGATAAGGAAACTATGGCTCAGAGAGGTCAGTGGCCTTCCCAAGTGGTGGCAGAGCACACAGGGCACCCAGTTCTTTGTCCTCCCAGCCACGCTGCCACCCTCCTCTCTGTGAGACTGTCAGTTTCCTGGTCACACATACACCATGCTGTTTTCCCTCCCAGCTTGCACAGGGATTCTTTCTTTTCTTCTCCACAGCAGTAGGATCAAGCTTTCCCTCCCTCGACTCAAGGTCCATTTTTGTGCCACCCAGGAATGCCCCAGCAGGAGGTGGTATTGCTTCTTCCTGGCAGGGTCCACAGTTAGTTAGCAGTTTAGGTTCCTGGCTACAACCCCAAATTGTTCTTTAGGGGATCCCCCTAGCTGCACCCGTGTTTAACATTTGGTGCTGTCAGCCTCCTTCTGGAAACTCTTCGCTTCCATCATGACCACGGATCCTGGTTTCCTTCCTTTCCTTCTGAGTACCTCCAGGAGGCTCCCTCCTGCCTCTCCTCCTTGTCACTTTGGGACACTATTTACAAAGGTCACTCTTCACTTCTGTTAAGGCCCCATTATTCTTTAGAGTTCTGGTCCCACTTCCAGCTGCCTCCTGGTCACCTTAGCTCAGGGTTCCTCAACCTCAGCACTATTGACATTTTAGGATGGCTGATTCTTCATTGGAGGGGACTGCCCTGTGCATTGTACGATCCCTGGCCTCTGCTGAACAGATGCCAGTGGTACCCACTCCATTTTGACAACAACAAAAAATATCTCTAGACGTTGCAGATATGCCCGGGGAGCAAAGTTCCCCTGATTGAGAACCACTGCCTTAGCTGGCCTCAACAGCATGAAAACAAAACTTCGACCTGCTCCTACCTGCCTCCTCCCCAAATAAAATGAGGTTGAACAGAAGCCGTAAGATTCCAGCATGACTTTGTGTATAATACAGGGCAAGAAGCAGAGAGAAAGGAGCCAGAATCTAGAACTCTGAAACTTTGAAGGAGCCTCAGAATCCCAGAACTCAGGTGTGCTAAGCTATCATGCCCCGCTTTCTAAGCTAAGACACAGCTTCAAATCCTTCTCAGCATAGCACCCAGTTAATAAGAGGGGATGTGAAAGACAAACCTCCATGCCAGCCCTGCTCAGACCACTGCCCTCGTGTTAACCTGTACAAGTAGAGTTTAGTGGCCAAAAAGCTTCTTTGACATGGCTTTTGGCTGTACTTGCTAAACAAGACCAGTGGTACTGTGTCCTCAACACCGGGCCTGGCACATAATTGGTGTTGAATAAATGATGGTTGAATAAATCACTTTAACAGTGACTGTCTCTGGGTAGTGAGACCAGGTGTAATGCTTTTATTTTCTTTTGCATTTCTTCATTTTTCAAACCTCTTTATAAGTGAGAGTATTTACTTTATAAAGGAGGAAGACACATGAATATCTTCCCCTAAGTTAAAAAGCCCTCTGTCTCATTCCACACGTCTTGCTTCCTTCCGCAGGTCTGACCTTCGAGAAACATGGCAACCAGCGCCGTCCCCAGTGACAACCTCCCCACATACAAGCTGGTGGTGGTGGGGGATGGGGGCGTGGGCAAAAGTGCCCTCACCATCCAGTTTTTCCAAAAGATCTTTGTGCCTGACTATGACCCCACCATTGAAGACTCCTACCTGAAACATACAGAGATTGACAATCAGTGGGCCATCTTGGACGGTGAGACCTGGGTGGCAGCCCTGCATTGGGTAGGATAGTAGATGGGGAGGATCGGGGACATTTGACAGGTTTCAGCGGGGCAAGGTGGTTTCCTTAATGTTGCTGTTACGGGATGGTTGGTATAAAGCCCTGTGTCATTTTCAGGGTGAATTCTGAACAGGGAAGGCCTGCGTAGAGGACTTGCAAGGTTTCATGGAAACCAAAATGTGCATTCAACAAAGAGGGGAGGCTAGAATCATGCCAGCTCAGCAATGACATGATTGTTTTCTCTTGCTGATCAGAATCTCTGATTAACAGTTATGGATGTCTTTAGCTAATAAAAGAGGGAAAAGCACGTTGTTTCTTAATGAACATAGTTTACTTGGTACTTGTATATATATTCCTTTGGGGGGAATCTCTTGCATCTGACATTTTGTTTCTAGCTGAGTGTGAATTAGTCTGGATTACTAGTTCTAAGTGTGGCAGCCAGGCCAGCAGCAGCCACAGCATCAGGAAACTAATTAGAAATGCACATTCTCAGGGCCATACTGATTTGGAAATTCTGAGGGTGAGCCCAACAGCCCGTGGTTTTTTTTTTTTTGAGACGGAGTCTTGCTCTGTCGCCGGGGCTGGAGTGCAGTGGCCGGATCTTGGCTCACTGCAAGCTCTGCCTCCCGGGTTCACGCCATTCTCCTGCCTCAGCCTCCCGAGTAGCTGGGACCACAGGCGCCCGCCACCTCGCCCAGCTAGTTTTTTTTTTAATATTTTTTAGTAGAGACGGGGTTTCACCGTGTTAGCCAGGATGGTCTCGATCTCCTGACCTCGTGATCCGCCCGTCTCGGCCTCCCAAAGTGCTGGGATTACAGGCTTGAGCCACCGCGCCCGGCCTCAGCCCGTGTTTTAACACACCCTCTAGGAGATGCTTGAAATCAGGTAGCATTACATCTCCAACTTTGTTCTTTTTCAAAGTTATTTTGACTAGTCTAGGTCCTAAGGTATTTCTGTGTGAGTTTTAGAATCAGTTAAATTCTAAAACCCTAGATTTTGATTGGGATTGTGTTGAATCTGTAGATCTGTTTGAGGAGAATTGATATTTTAACAATGTTGAGGCTTCCAACCCATGAACACAGTATCTCTTTCCATTTGTTTATTTATTTATTTAGGTCTTCTTTAATTTCTCTTGTCAATTTTATTTGTAGGTTTTTTTTGTCTTGGTTTTTTGGTTTTTTTTGAGACAGAGTCTCACTATCACCAGGCTAGTGGAGTGCAATGGTGCAATCTCGGATCACTGCAACCTCTGCCTCCTGGGTTCAAGCAATTCTCCTGCCTCAGCCTCCCAAGTAGCTGGGATTACAGGCACGCATCACCACACCCAGCTAATTTTTTTTGTATTTTTAGTAGAGATGGGCTTTCGCCATGTTGGCCAGGATGGTCTCGATCTTCTGACCTCATGATCCACCCACCTCAGCCTCGCAAAGTGCTGGGATTACAGGCGTGAGCCACCGTGCCCCAGCTTATTTGTAGTTTTGAGTGCATAGGTCTTCTACGTGTTTTGTCAGATTTATACCTGCATCTGTATTGATGCTATTGTAAATTTTTTTTTTTGTTGTTGTTGTTGTTGTTGTTGAGACAGAGTCTCGCTTTGTCGCCCAGGCTGGGGTGCAGTGGCCAGATCTCAGCTCACTGCAAGCTCCGCCTCCCGGGTTTACGCCATTCTCCTGCCTCAGCCTCCCGAGTAGCTGGGACTACAGGCGCCCGCCACCTCGCCCGGCTAGTTTTTTGTATTTTTTAGTAGAGACGGGGTTTCACCGTGTTAGCCAGGATGGTCTCGATCTCCTGACCTCGTGATCCGCCCGTCTCGGCCTCCCAAAGTGCTGGGATTACAGGCTTGAGCCACCGCGCCCGGCTATTGTAAATTATTATTTGTGGTTTTTTATTTCCATTTTCAGTTATTTGTTGCTAGTATATATAAAAACAATAGGTTTCTGTATATTAATCTTGTAACCTGCAACTTTGCTAAACTCACTTATTAGTTCTAGTGTCTTTTTTGTAGATTCTGCTGGATTTTTCTGAATAGACCATAGTGACTGCAAGTAAAGACAGTTTTACTTCTTTTCCAATCTGGATGGCTCTTATTTCTTTTTCTTGCCTTATCTCATTGATTAAAATCTCTGGCACCCTGTTGAAAAGAGGTGACAAGAACAGATATCCTTGTCTTGTTCTTGATCTTAAAGGGTAAGTGTTCGGTCTTTAGCGTTAAGTATGATGTTAGTTGCAGGCTTTTTATGGATGGCCTTTAACAGGTCATGGAAGTTCCTTTCTATTCCTTTTGCTGAGAGTTTTTATCAGGAATGGATGTTGGATTTTGTCCAGTGCTTTTTCTGTGTCTACTGAGATAACCATATGGTTTTCCTTTTTTAGTTTAATATGGTAAATTACATTGATTGTTTTGTTTTGTTTTTGTGACAGAGTCTTGCACTGTCACCTAGGCTGGAGCGCAGTGGCACGATCTTAGCTCACTGCAACCACAAACTCCTGGGCTCAAGAGATCTTCTTGCCTCAGCTTCCCCAGTAGCTAGGACTGTAGGCACACACCACTGTGCCGGCTAATATTTTACGTTTTTGTGGAGATTGGGGGGAATCTCCCTTCGTTGCCCAGGCTGGTCTCGAACTCCTGGCTTCAAATAATCCTTCCACTTCAGCCTCCCAAAGTGCTGGGATTACAGGTGTGAGCCACCATCCCTGGTCCTTGATTTTTCTTTTTTCTGGTATTAAACTGACATTGCATCCCTGGAATAAACCCCACTTGGTCATTATATATTATCCTTTAATATGGTTGGCTTTGATTTGCTAACCTTTTGTTTACAATTCTTATATCTGTGTTCTTGTGAAATATTGGTCTATAGTTTTCTTGTAATATCTGTGTCTAGTTTTGGTATCAGAGTAACGTTGGCCTTATAGAACAAGTGTTATTCAATTTTTTGGAAGAGTTTGAGTTAAATTCGTATTTCTTCCCTAACTGTTTAGTAGAATTCACAAACAAGGCCATCTGGCCCTGGAGTTTTCTTTGTGGGACGATGTTTTTGTTTTTGTTTTGAGACAGGGTCTCGCTCTGTTACCCAGGCTGGAGTGCAATGGCGTGATCCAGGCTCACCACAGCCTAGACCTTCTGGGCTGAGGCAATCTTCCCACATATTTTGTCTGTCTTTTGGTTGTTTCAGCTGAGAAGGTAAATCTGGTGCCTGTTACTCCGTCTTGGCCAGAAGCAGAACCAAATCATGACTTCAAAAAAATACAGCTTTGTGGCCGGGCGCTGTGGCTGACGAGGCCTGTAAATCCCAACACTTTGGGAGGCTGAGGTGGGCAGATTGCTCAAGCAATCTGCTCAAGCTCAGGAGTTTGAGACTTGCCTGGGCAACATGGTGAAACCCCATCTCAACTAAAAATATAAAAATTAGCCTCGGGTGGCTGAGGTGGGAGAATCACTTGAGCTCAGGAGCCAAGACTGTGCCACCTCACTCCAGCCTGGGCAACAGAGTGAGACCCCTTCTCAAAAAACAAAACAAAACAAAACAAAAAACTTTGTAAATATATTTTGAAAGCCCTGAATTATGTACTTTTAGAGTATTAATATTATGGCATGTAGATTGTATCTCAATTTTAAAAAGCACCATCCTCCAAGGGTTTGTCTGCAGCCCTGGGACTTTGAACAGTTTGACCAGGTACCAAGCACCTTCCCATCTTGGGACTTTGCATTTTGTCTTCTCTCTGCCTAGAACATTCTTCCTGCAGAAACACTGATTTCATTTAGGTCTCAGCTCAAATGTCACTTTATCTAAGAGGTCTTCCCTGACCAAACCATTGACACTAGTATCCATCCCACCCCTGTCATTTCTATGCCCAGCTCTGTTTTTCTTTATTCTGCCTTTTATGGTTGAACATATTTTATCTTTGTTTGTGTTTTTGTCTCTGCTGACTAGAATATAAATGTCTGAGAGCAGGGACTTTATTTATTGACTGCATTATTCCTAGCATCTAGAATACTGCTTGGCTCATAGTAGGTCCCCAGTAAACATTTGTGGAATGACCAAATGAATGAATAAACCTTGAACAATATATGTGTAGTGACAGGTTTGATGTGCTAGCTATATTATTTTTTTTCTAACTCACAATAATATATATATATAACTATTAAAATTAAAACTTACATCTGTGCACTTTCTAAACTCATTTCATGTATCACCTATTGGAATATATGGCACACTTGGGATATACTGAGTTAAATAAATGTAAACAAGTTTCTTCACTGCAGGACTTATAAGAACCTTTAACATGCCGGGTGCGGTGGCTCGCGCCTATAATCCCAGCACTTTGGGAGGCCGAGGCAGGCGGATCATGGGGTCAAGAGATCGAGACCATCCTGGCTATCATGGTGAAACCTCGTCTCTACTAAAAATACAAAAAAATTAGCCAGGTGTGGGAGCGGGCACCTGTAGTACCAGCTACTCTGGAGGCTGAGGCAGGAGAGTGGCGTGAACCTGGGAGGCAGTGAGCTGAGATCGCACCACCGCACTCCAGCCTGGGCGACAGAGCGAGACTCCATCTAAAAAAAAAAAACGAAAAAAACAATAGAACCTTTAATATGCAAACATATATTAGAGGTGTAGTGATAGGATACATTGTCCTTAGGGCTTCCCACAGGGGTCATTTTTTGCATGTGATTCTGAACTACTGAACTACGTTCCATAGAAAACATTCTGAAACACATTGCATGATGCATGTAAGAAAGTAACACCATGCCTGGTACATCATTGGAACTCAATCAGTATTTCTCTCTACAGCCATATAAACTTCTATAACTTTTTTCTGAGTAACTTTGGATGTGAAATTGGTTTCTGAGGAAAAATGTTTTCCTCAAGATTGATTTTTAGGAAGATTTTGTGATAACATAGCCGGAGCAGCAGGGAGAGGGGCAACACGGTCGCAGCCTTATATTAGAAGCGTGCATTTGCAAAGCCTGT